CCTCTTACTCCACCGCCTTCTTGAGGACCACATGCTCTTATGGATGCGCAGACAGTGGAGACGGAAACATTTTGATTTTAACTGCATCTGTGCCCCTGCCCAGGAGCACTGGAGGCTGGGCCTCTGGCAAGCCTTTGCCTTCACCCGCCAGCCTGAATGGGGGTGTCTGGGATGCTTGTCCTGATCAGCCACAACCTCCTCCTGCTCCTCCCCCATCAGCCACCCCTGGCTCCCCGCCCCAGCCCTTCAGCCCCTCTGCTGGCACCCAGCAGGTGAGACAATGCAGACCAAGGGGCCAGTAAGGAGACTGTCTTCAGCAGCCACGAGCTGGGGAGCAGAGCGGATATTGATTTGGTATATGGGCGCGAAGGGACCTGTTAAACGTGCAGCTGTTAAATTGCTCTGCCCAGAGCCAGCCAGCTCTGCGGGTAGGCAGGTGACCTGGCTGGCAGGCAGGCAGTGGTCAGACCAGCCAGCTGCTAGCGCCCTGTTGAGGGTGGTCTTGGACATCTGGCAGAACCTGAGGCAGCCTGGCTTGGACCCTTGTTGCCCTGGTGCCCACAGGCCCCTGTGCTCCAGCCATATCCACCTCCTGGCATCCTCTGCGCATAGCCTGCAGCCGTGGCTGTTCTCACACAGACCCCTCCCCATCACCTCCTTCTCCATTTCTTAAAAACCTATCCCACTTTCCAGACCCAATGCAAATGGCACTCTTCCATGAAGTCTTCCCGATTTCCTACTCCCTACTCCCAATACCCAGAGAGGAGCAGGCTTTCCTCTCCAAATCCCCAAAGCCCCAGGGCTCTGCCTGTCTTCGGCTTCTGGTCCCCTCTGCGTTAAGAACTAAGAGTTGTGGGTCCACTGAAGAGAACACCTGAGCTTCACGTGCCCCTCTCCCAACACACGCACAGGTGGGGCCTGGGCGGCCAGGCACACAGGTGATGCTGAGCAGCTCACGAGGGGAGGACAGGGCAGGAATGTGCTGGCTGAGCCATGGCCTGATCCTGATGGGCGCCCCTTCCCGGCACCTGAGCCGGGACGGTGCTTCCCAGGCCCTGCAACAGATGCCAGGAGCTGCTCCGTCTTGAATTGTTCTCTGTTCCTCTCTTGTAAGGCCCTCCAATGGTCCCCAGTCAAAACTCCCACTCAGTCAGAGGCCACCTTCATTGCTGGGATGCCCGTTGTGGAGGCTGAGACCAAGCCTAACCGTTGCAGCCATGAAGCCCAAATCTGAGGCTCTCTGAGCCTCAGTTTCCTCATCAATAAAACAGAGATACTGGGTCATATCCCTTATAATGGTTGCGAGAATTGGACAAGACAACTGCTGAAGAGGCCCAGAGAGGGTCAGTGGTTGCCTGGAGTCACACAGCAAAAAGGCAGAAAAGACGCAGCACTCCTACCTCCTAGCCCCAAACTCCCCCTACCCCGTCCAGCCTCCTGGGTCTGGGTTCTGGGCTGAACAGCCTGCGTTGTGCTGGGGCCTGGTCTGTGTAACCTGGTGGCTGGTCTCTGCAACCTCAGGAACCACAGACTAGCAGCTTGCTCAGAGCTGGGCTTGGGCCTCTGGTTGTTCCTCTGGCCCGGCCAGGCCTCTTCACGGGGCCTTATCTGTCTGCTCTCTCCTTTCCCACCAAACTAATCGCTCCCTCTTTTCAGGAGTTCCTGTTTCCGCTCTGCCGCCTTCTTGTCTCCCTCCTCAGGCCCGTCTCTCCCGTGTCTCCAGCCAGCGTCCCACACTTGGTTCCGAGCCGCCTCGGCGTGGCTGCTGCTGTCATCACTGGGGAGTCTCCATCACTCGGGGGCTCTCCAAGCCTCACAGAGCCCTGTCCCGGGACGGCTGCCCCTTACACAGGAGGGAGATGGAGCAGGGCCTGGAAAGGGAAACCTGCTGGGGACAGGAATCCTGACACCCTCAGATCAGTACGCAGCCATCCAATTCTTCGGGTTGGGCATTGGCCAAGGGGCTTCTACAGGGCTTGCAAGGCAGTGGTTTAGGGGTCCCTATTCTACAATTCCTGGGTACCAAGATTTGACAGTTCTAAATCTCTGAATCCGATGAGATCCTGAGCTACCAGAGCTCTGAGGTCCTGGGAGCCTCCAGGCCCTTGTGATGCACCTGGCGGAGGCCTGAGCCTCCACCTCCCCGGAGCGGGGCTCAGGCTGGCTGCATTCTCAGAGCCCTGACCTGGGGGCGAGGGGCAGCACCGGGACCAGCTCCCACTGCCCCTTGGTTGTCCAGCTCCTGGCCTGCCAGAAAGATTCAGGGCTTTGTCACAGAGGTGGGGACTGGCCACTGGCCCATTGAGTCAGGGACCCCTGGAGTCTCCTGTCCTGAGCTTGAGGGCTCCCCTCCCAGCCCTCCTCAGCTCTCCATGTAGCTCCTCTGCACCTGCCGGGAGTGCGGAGGACGCATGAGCAGGGACGCACCTGTGCTCAGAGCCCTTCTGTGCTGGGAGCTTTCCTCGGGGCTGGAGTGAGCACGTTTCCTTACAGAGCCTCAGTTTCCTCCTGCGTCAATGGTAACAATACTCACTTCGGAGGGCTGCTGTGGTGACTTGGGCCAGTGTGTTTAGAAAGTCACATAGCAGGTACACAATACATGGTAGCACTTAGCTCATGTGGCCACCCTCTCTGAGAGCCATTCTGGGTTCCTGGTCTGGTTTCCCCATTTACTTGTCTTGACAGAGGTCCAAAGAATACTCCCAAACCCAACATTTCAGAGGTATGTCTTATACCCAGCCCTGTTGTGCTGCCCCCCAGATCCCAGGGCCCATGGGTGCATAGGGCTGGTCCCAGTTCATGAAAAGGCCGAAAACATGTGGGGGAGACGGATGTTATGACACAACACAGGCCTCTACAACACCTTGGCTCAGAGAAGAACTGGAGGGAGCATAGAGGCTGTGGGAACCCAGTGGAGGCCCCTGGTCCAGGGTGAGGGCAGTTGGGGAGGGCTTCCTGTAGGAGGCAGCCATTTACCTGGCTTTTGCAGAAGAGGCCACTGGCTGGCAGCTTGAGAAGGAGGGTGATGGCTGCTTTAACTGTTCAAAGGGTTGTTGGGAGCCCAAAGAGGGGGAGATCCTTTCCACCCAGAGCACTGGGGAAGGTTTTGTGGAGAGGGCTATGAAGGTTGCGTGAGATTCCAGCAGGGAAAACAGCGCTCACGGCCAGGGAAGATCAACAGATGCCCAGAGGCCAGGCGGGCTGAGCAGCTGGGAGTTGCAGGAAATGCTGTTGTAAGAATCGTTTGTGCCTATGGGGACAGGCCTTGTGTTCTAGGCAAGGAACTAGGGTTTGGTTTTGTGAGCTGAGGGGTTTGCTGAGAGCTGTGAAGCAGGGAAACCCTGGGCCTGGAGAGTGCACATTCCAGGGGCTCCTTCCAGGGAGGCTGGGGGTTTTCACCAGAGAGGCTGGCAGGGGCCCCACCCAGAGAGGCTCCAGCTCCCCCAGCCCATTATCAGCTCTGTGACCACAGGAAGGCCCTTCCCATCTCTGAATTTCCTCATCTGCAAAACACACCAGAAGACTTATCTTGAGGTTCCTTGCAGCCGGTGACTGTGGCTCTGGCCATCCCCCCATCCTGCCTCAAGCTTTCAGGCAGGGCCTGGAGAATGGCCACCAAAGCTGTCCTTCTTCCCACTCAGGACTTGTCCAGCCCCAGAGGGGTCATCCCTGCCATCCCACCCCTGTGGACGTGTCTTCACTTCTCCAAAGCCTGCGCAAGGCCCTGCTCTGCCGCAGCCCCTCCAGGTGGCGTCTCAGTCCTCAGCTGGCTCCAAGGAGGGAAGGCGCTGGTGCTGAGTCTGGGTCTCTCCCATGCATGCAGAGATCCAGATGACGTCTTCTTACACCCTTTGCCTTGGGTGGTCACCCCCCCAAGCCACAGCAAGATCCGGTAATGAACCACTGCTTCTGTTTCGGCGCCATCTGCCCTGGCCAGGCACTGGGGATACCCCACTTGCTCATCTGTTGGTTACTAGTGCTGCCCACATGCGGGAGGTGACGCTGAAGCTCAGGGGACAGTGATGTGCCTGCGGTGATCCTGTGCACCCTGCCTTCACTTGGCAATAGCCAGGACCACCAACCTCCCTCGTGTCTCCCTGGCCATTCCGTCTATCTCCCGTGTCTCCTCTAAGCTTCGTCTCCCCAATCTCCAAGGCAGGAGTGCCCCAGGCCCAGGCTCTGGTCCTCTTTACTCACCCACTGTCTTAGTGATGATGCCCAAATGTGGATCTCCAGCCACGGCCACTCCCCAGAACTCCAGATCCAAATATCTACCCATCCACTCAGTATTTCCACTAGGAGCATAAACAGCATCACAATCCCTACAGGCCCAAATCTGAACCCCAGGTCTCTCTTCATGTCAGCATTCAGCTCCTCCAGCCTTCCAAGTGCTCCAGCCAAACCCCCAGCAGTCATTCTTGGGCCTCCTTCCCCTCACACCCCACATGCAAAAAGGGAACAAATCCTGTTGGCTCCACCTTCAGAACAGAACCAGAATCCAACCACTTCTCATCACGTCTGCTGCCGCCAGCCTTCAGCAGGCCTTTCCCAACCTCCTGCCTTCCTCCCCACCTCCCCCATTTTACAAATGGGGAAACTGAGGCTGACAGAGAGCCCTGCCTAGGGTCATGCGGAAAACCTACCAGGGCTAGCTAGAGCCTGGATCTGCACTACCTCCCCAAAGTCTGCATCCCAGCTCCCCAGGGAGGGTTCTCCCTTGAAGTCAGCTTAGCAGGCAGGCCTGACAACATGGCCAGGCTCCGAGCTGCGCCTGCATGTGTGTCCCTGAGGAACAAAGACGCTGCCAGCTGGGTTTATGTTTCAAGACGTCTGTCCTCGCCCTTGACCAAGAGATCTTACAGGGAGATCGGGGCCAGGGCCTGGTGTGGGGGAAGTGCGGGGGGAGAAAAGACATCAATCGGAAGCCGCCTTGCCTGGAAACCGGAGAGTTCCCCCACCAGCCCCAGGGTCTGCCCAGTTCACTTGAGGAGGCCGGGAACTGCAGGGGCGGGCTGGGGCTCACTCAGCATTTATTTCATACAGCTGCTTAGAAAGCTTGTTTTAAAATAGAGATCATCATATATATATATATATATATATATATATATATATATATATAATATATAAAGAGGAATCGAGAAGAGCCACCCCGAAGAAAAAGCTATGTTTTATAAATATTTCTGTAGCTTCCATATCCCAAAGGAAGAAAAATCAAAAAACCAAAGAAAACATTTACAACCCAAGCTAGTGGTTCCATGTGGCAGGCCCAACAGGATCAGACTCCAGGGTGGGCCGGGGGTCCCACAGAACATTCTGAAGAAGGCGGGCAGACCCCTTCCCAGAGGCTGGTCTCTGTGGCCCTGAAAGGTCAAGTCCATGTCAGTCTCACAAAATCCCATGCCCTGCTCCTTAGACCAGCCTGTGGGCACTCCAGGGCCTCAGGCGGACAAGTTATTTTTAATCTTGTTGGTTTCCTTTGATGTCCCGGCCCTCCTTCCAGGGTGGCCAGGCCTTCTGATCCTGGTGGCTTCCAAGTGAAGGCGAAGCACAAGCCACCTCCCATGCCTGGCATCTGGAATTCACAAGCAGAGATCCGTGGGGCGTCTCCAGGCCCCTGGCCCCAGCTGCTGTGGGTCCTTGAGCAGAGTCCTCACTCCTGCGTGGGGCGGAGGGCAGGGCCTCACTTGCATACATAGCGTTCCACGGTGCGTTCACACCTGCGGCAGGTGACATAGCAGCACCAGTGGTACTTACAGTGGCACCGCTCGACCACGAGGTCCGTGTAGGGGTTGTAGCCACGCCCGCAGCACATAAGGTCGCAGCTGTCACTGCCGTTGGATGTCTTGTTGCACTGCCTGTTGTGGGGGCGGGAAGGAGGTCAGTGCATGCCTCAGTCACCACCTCCCCACACCCCATGACCCCCAGCCAGGCAGCCAGCAGCCTCTCCCATGGCCACCAACTCAGCCCTTCTTGGAAGTTGTCTTGAACTTTCAGGAATTTTAAATAATCCTGTTACCTAAAGGTACTTCTAACTTTTCCCTATATTTCTAGCAGGAGGTTACCAAAATGATGGGGTTGTTTTGTTTTCTTTTTCATTTTTTTTTTTTTTGAGACGGGGGTCTCACTCTCTTGCCCAGGCTGGAGTGCAGTGGTTGTGATTATGGCTCCCTGCAGCCTTGACCCCACCCCCCCATCTCAAGTGCTCCTCCCACTTGGCCTCCTGAATAGCTGGGACTATAAGCAGGTACCACCATGCCTGGCTAATTTTTTAATTTTTATTTTTGTAGCAATGGAGTCCCATTATGTTGCTCAGGCTGGTCTTGAACTCCTAGGCTCAAGCAATCTCCCATCTCAGCCTTCCAAAGTACTGGGATTACAGGCATGAGCCACTGTACCCAACCTTGTTTTGTTTTCTTGGAGGTATCTTTTTTCTGTTTCTTCTACTTCTAAAAATACTGGAAGGACCCTCTAACCAATCTAATAATCCTATCTAGACAGTCTCGCTCTGTCGCCCAGGCTGGAGTGCAGTGGTACAATTTCGGCTCACTGCAACCTCTGCCTCCTGGGTTCAGGCAATTCTCCTGCCTCAGGCTCCCGAGTAGCTGGGATTACAGGCATGTACCACCATGCCTGGCCATACTTAATCTTTTATTAAATATTATGACAGATGTAAAGATCACTTGATTTTTAGAAGCCTAGGATAAATTCTGAAATACTTGAACCCCCAGTGGGCATCAGGCATGCTGCTCGTGGAGGAAGAGGAGTCTATCAGCCACGTGCCTCCTGTGGGCCAGACCTTCCCCCCAGTGTTTTATCTTAGTGGAGGCCCACAGGGCCCTTGGGTTAGTGGATTTATTATGTCCATTATGCAGACGAAAACAGGCTCAGCAAAGGGCAGAGGCTTAAACTCAGACTAAAACTAAGGCCCTGGCTTTCTCTCCCTATCCTATCCTCTGTCTAGTGACAAATCATCTGTTCAGACTAGTGGTTCCTCTCACTGGGCTGAGGCTAGACAGGGAGTGTTTTCATGAGATGCAGTTGGGGACAGAGCTGCAGGGGTCTGGAGCACTGACAGGGACAAAGGGTCCCGACGGGTGGATGGAGGAATCCCAGAGTGTCCGAGATGGGCAAGTCCTAGAGATGAGTGAAGGTAATCCTCATATTTACTGATGGGGAAACAGACACAGAAGGGGGAGGGGCCTGGCCGGGGGTGAGTCCAAGGCCTTTGAGAGTTCAGGAGGGCTTCCTGGAAGAGGAAAGGCCATCTAGGCCATTCATGAAGGATGAGCAGGACTCCGTCATGCAGAGGAGGGAAGGAGTGCTAGGGTAGAGGAAACAGCCTGGGCAAAGGCAGAAGACCAGGCCTGCCCTCAGAACAGGGAGAGCAGACAGAAGGGGAGGGCTGGCGGCCCAGAGGAGGCTGAGTAGTGCTTGGGGGAGCAGCCAGGTCTGAGCTGGAAGGGGCGATGGGCAGAAGGAGGGGAGTGCCTGGGAAGAGTCAGCCAGTGACCAGCAAGTGGGGGCTGTCAGCAGTTTCCGGAAGAACACATGCCCCCGACCCAGACAGACCGCGGTTCAAACCTCAGCTCTGCCACTTACTGGCTATGTGACTTAAGGCAGGTCACTGAACCTTTTTGGGCTTTGTTTAGCCACTTGGCATTAATGAGTCCCCCCTCAGCCTTATTCTGAAGGCTCTGGCTGAGCACTCTATCCTGAGAGGCAGGAAGAAGACAGAGTTCTTTTTCTAATTTCTGGATCCCTGACATGCACTGTCTGACCTGGCCTCCGATGTCAGAGCCAGACAAGGCCTGGGACCAGGATTGGGGTCAGTGAGGCCACGGGCCCAGGGGAGGGCCATTGGAATACCTGGCTCCCAGGGCACAGGGTGGCTCAGACTGTCGGCGGAGGCGGGGGTGGGGGACGAGTTTCAGGGGTGCAGGCCTCTGGAAGAAATACTACAAGAGGGCTGGGATTTGGAATATTGACTGCAGATTAGGCCTCGGTTTCCCCAGGTTAGATTTGAGGATACTGCAAGGAGTCTTCCCCACCTAGGGAGCCAGCATCTAGAGATACCACCCGTGCACACGCTTTGCACAGTTCACAAAGCTCACTCACATTCAACCTCCAACCCAATCAATCTCACATTTCTCCTCCTCTAGGAAGCCTTCCTTGATGTCCAGGCTAGGTCAGGGACCCTCTGGGCTCCCCTCACACCGAGCTTTCTTGTCACGACCTGAGCCCTTGGGGATCCTCCAGCAGCACCTGCCACAGCTGACCTGCAGTCTCATGTAACTGGTGCAAAAAATGTTTGTGGTTGTAAACTGCTGAGAGATTGGGGGTGTTTGTTACTGCAGCAAAAGCCAACTAACACAGACGCCTGCAGGGGCCCCCCCAGGGAAGGACTGGCAGCCACAAGCCGAAAAACTGTGGGGGCTGCAAAGGAAGCCAAGAGGGTGGGTGGTGCTGTCGGGCTTCTTCATCAGGAGTGAGGGGGTGCTGGGAGAGTGGGGCCTGGCAGCCTGAGGGCACAGGGGGAGGGGAGATGCTACGTAAGTGTGCTTGGAGATCACTGCCAACCCTGTGAGCGGCGGGGTGCCCTCCCCACTGCACGGGACACAGGCCTGAGCCTCAACTCAGTGAGGGATGTGCTCGAGTCCCTCCACTGGGAAGCTGTGCCCTCGCTGACGCACACAGAGCACACAGATCCAGGAAGACGCTCTCTTCACTCTTGGGTCCTCTGTGGGCCTCCTGTAACCCTCCGTGTTCTAGAAGCCGCCTCTAACTCCCCCGTCCCCATGTACCTCAGCCCAGCCTCTGGCTCCTTCCTGTCTCCCTGGCCTGACCTGGTTCCATCTTCCCTCTGCCGACCCCTGCAATCTGGCCTCCAGATGGGAGCCTGGGCCTCCTCACAGAGCCTGCTGCCCCGGCCTGTGGGGATGCAGCCCCCCAGCCCACCCCTCCCTCTCCTGGAGACAGGAACGTGGGCCGTGGAGGAAGTCGACGCTGGCTGTGCACCAACAATGTGCCAGACACGTTCCCAGACACCCACTCTCTGGTGCAATATTCTTTTAACCCCAAGAACACGAGTTTTGTGGAATGCTATTAGGGGCTCCTTAATAAAAGAGTTCCATGGCCAAACACCTCTGGGAAGTACTGGCTTAAACAGATCCTTCACTGCAGATTCCTCGGAGCCTTTTGTATGTTCTAGTGCCTTGTGAAGCGCCAAAGGGAATTTCCCAAATGCATGTGACGCCAGAGCTCTTCCTCTCATAGGAGATCGGGACCAGCTTTTGCCAGCCCCGTCTTCCGGAAAGGCTGCTTGTGAGGTCCTCACCAGCCCCACCCAGTACACAGTAGGTCTGCAGTCACCCCTGGCTCCCTCACTCTCCTTTGCTGAGCTGGCTGCAGCAGCTGTGACTGGGCCTGTGGCAGGGTTCCAGGACCGGGGTCCCCAGGAGGAGATGGGAGGAGCGGTGGGCCAGGGGCAGGGCTCACAGGGGTGGGGACACAGGAGCAGTATCGCTGCACGGAATGCGGGCAGACCTCACTCTCCCTCACTCAGTGGAGGCTGTCTCCACCTCCCCTGGCGCCTCAGTCTCTTTTCTGTGCACCAAGCAGGCTGTACGGCCTTTACCCCTCATCTGTTCATCTGACAAACATTTTCTGAGCACCTATCTTATGTTGGGCAGCCTCGTCCCTCTCCTGTCTCCCAGTAGCGGCATTGTCTCTTCCCGTCAGTCTCCCCAGCTGGGGAAGGTGGAGCAGGGGCCTCTCATCAGCCTCCATTCCCTGGGCCCCTGCCAGGCCAAGTGCAGAATGCTCCTGGCAGCTCTGCAGGGGCCCCTAGGACCCTGGCATCTCCAATCAGCATTCCTGGGGCCAACTCCCTTGACTGAGCAGGGACTCCATTCTCCAAATGCCAACTGAGTCCCTGCTGTGTGTGTGGCCCTGAGCTGGGGAACAGTGCGTGCAAGCTGGGTGACCCTTTCCCGCCAGGATGGCGGCTGGCCTCACCTGTCTTGTGTCCCGTGGGATCCCACCTTCTCATTCTTCATGCAGAAGTCAGGTGAGCTCTGCAGATAGACGAGTTCCGAGTCCTTCACGGGCCGGATATCCAGGTCCTTGGGCACCAGGTGCTTGCGGGTGCCCATGGGACGGTGCACTACCTTGGTGGCTGACAAGTATCGGGTCTTGAGATCGGCAGCCACATCCTGCAGCTCCTGCAGCCCCTTCCAGCAGGTGCGGATGGAGCAGGAGCCAGACACCCCATGGCATTTACACTTCATTTCCAGAGAGGCGCGCAGAGCCTGCGGACAGGGGGAGGCGTCGGCTGGGCATCCGGAGTCCCCTCCCTGGCCTGTCCTGGGACCCCCAGCCCACCCACCCGTGGCTGGGTGCTCTCGGGGAGACACTGCCTGCTGGAGCCTCAAGTGATAGAGCTTTTTGCTGTGAAGTTTGGAGGTGGTGTGGGTCTTCCTGCAACCTGGGGGGCAGCTGAGGGGCAGGAATAAAAGCATTTGCAGGGATAGGGATGCAGTTATTGAGCACCTACTATATACCAAGCACTCTAACACATAAGAGAGGTTGATCATCACAAAAGCCCTTCAGGGGAGGTATTCTTACTCCCCCCATATTAAAAAGAAGAAACAGCTCAGAGAGGCTGCCCAAGGTTGCAGATAGGAAATCATGGAGCTGGGATTTGAACCCAGATCTGAGGGTGATTCCAAAAGCAGTGGCTTTTAATTGTTCCATGCTTTTTCTCTCACTAACTGCTTGCTGGAAAAAAGGAAGAAAATAAGAGAAGGAAGGAAAGGAGGAGAGTAGGAAGGGGAGAAGAGGCAGAGGTGAGTGCGGGAGGCACCTCCCCACTGCCTGGCTGGCTGTCCCCCCACTGCCAGCGCTCCTGCCAGGCCACCCTCAGCAAGCCACGTCACCACTCAGAGCCTCTGTCTTCTTTCGTGCAAAGCGAGCACATAATTCCTGCCTTGCAGAGAGCTGTAAGGATGAAATGAGATGACACACACAAAAGGGTTTTGTGAACCATAAAAGTTAAATCAATATTGGCTTTGAAAAATCCATTTAAGTAATAACTATGGTAAAGACCCTTGGGCTCAGAGGCTTGGGGAGATTTTTGCCCTGGCTTCCAAAAGGACTCTGGCCCACCAGCTTTTCTGGGCCTCAGCTTCCCCATTTATACCTGAGGGGTAGAAGTTAGACGCCTTCTAAGGGCCTTCCAGTTCTGCCTTTTAAACCCTTCTTTCAAAACAAGACTCAGATCCCCCTGCCCCAGCCTGCCCTCCTGCCTGTCCTGTACAGAGACCGGCAAGAGTCATGGGAAACTGGGCCCATCCCCTGCATCAGAGAGATGGGGAAACTGAGGCAAAGAGTGGTCAGGCCTTGCTCCAAGACAAATGAGTTAGTGGGGGAACTGACCAAGGTCTCAGGGCTCCTTCCTCTCGCCAGTGCCAGGAAGTGAGGACCCAGGGAGTGTGTATGGGCAGCAAATCTGAAATGTGTGAGAAAAGTCTGTGGAGGTCACAGGAATGAAGTCAACAGGACTGCAGGGCACCGCGGCACTGGCGAGCCATCGAGGGAAAGTGAACTAGGTTCTGCTGCTCAGCATAAGCTGGGAGAAGGGGCCTGGAGCTTCCCGAGGTACTAAACCCATGTTGGCGATCTCATTTAATCCTCATGAAGCCCTGCAACTTGTGGGGATACTGGCCCCTTTTGCAGATGGCCTCGGGGACAGGCCTGATTTGCCCCGAGGCTGAGGACACTCTTTGGACTGCATGGCAGGGAGGGGAGGGCTGGGCCCCTGGCAGCAGGTGGTGCCCAGCTGGCCTGGCCATGATGTTGGGTGTGCAGGCTGCTGGGAAGGGCTCCCACTGGGTTTCATGAGCAGGGGTGGGGGACAGGTCAGCAGGGCCAGGAGGCAGGAGTCCCGAGTTCCTGGCCAGGCTCTGCTATAGACCCACAGTATGATTTGGCCTCAGTTTCCCTAACTGTCCAAAGGATGGCCTGGACATCCAAGAATCCTCACACAAGGGAGACCCTTGAGAGCAGGTGAGACCACAGAAGCCCTGGACATGGGAGTCGCACAGGCCTGGGCTCTATCGCGCGGTGTGGCTGAGCCGCTGAAGTGCTTTCGGTCACACTCAGCGCCTCTGTAAAACGGGGCTAAAGGGTGCAGAGAGGAGCTGATGAGATGCCGACTGCACAGACTGCACACGCAGCTCTAGCGGAGTGGCCGTCCTGCTGGTCACAGGCCTTTCCCCATCTGTAGAAAGGGGACAACAGAGCCTGCCCGAGTCGTTCTGCGACCACAGGACAGAAACATATGGAGCACCAAGCACTGTGTCTGCAACATGGATTGCTAGAAAGTTCATTCACTTATGGGTCCACCCACCCCAGCCTTTTGGGCAGTGAGGTGATGAATGAATGAAAACCTGATAATAATGAGTGCTGGAGGGAAACTGTTCTAGAGGCTGTGGTAGGTATGGGTGGGAATCCCTGTTCAATCCAAGCAGATGACCCCTTAGGATATGGTTCTGTTGACCACAGCCCGCTCCATGCACTGGAGGGAGGTACAGCAGCAGGTCACCCCCACCATTTTATAGATGGGAACAGCTGAGGCTAGAGAGGCAGTGACTTGCCCAATGTCCCTTAGAGAGTTCAGTGCCAGAGCCAAGGCCAGGACTCAGAGCTTCTGACTCCTAGTTCAGTGCTCCTTCCGCTTGGACAACCCAAACCCCAGTGGATGCCCAGGAGGAGGAAAGCGAGGCAAGCCCCAAGCAGCTGGCGAGGGAAGGGCTGAGGACCAGGACAGTGCGAGGCACGTCAGGTATGGGCCAGTCAGGGCCCGTCCCCCCGCACCCCCGCCATCGGGGCACACTGGGTGGCCCTTTTCCGGCCAATGGCGCAAGCACAGCTGTCTGGGGGTGGGTGGGGTGGGCGGTTACCTGTCTCCCCACTTCACTGTTGTGTAGACGCATCAGTTTATTCGCTTGGGATCCTGTTTTTTTCACCTTCATAGGAGCATCGGAAAACTTGGCCCCCATGAGGAGCCCGTAGCTGAGGTTGTCTGCACATCCTCCCCAGCGGTCCCCGGGCCCGGGTGGCTCACCTGGGACAGGGCCGCAGGAGCAGCCGGGCAGGTCGCCGGAGGTGCAGGCCCGGGCGATGGTGTGGCTGATGGCAGCGGCCGACAGCGCATACACGAAGGCCGACTCCCGGGTCCCTGGGGGTGGGAGGGGAAGGTCAGCTGGCACCCATCAAGGGCTAGGACCCCACCCAGGTCGGAGGTCCTTCTCCTTTGCCCACACCCTGCTGTAAGCCGGGTGGCGCTGGCAGGTGTCAGCACTATGGCCATTGGGCTGTCACCTCTGCTTCCCCAATTCCCTCTGAATATACCAGCTGACAGCCACACTCAGGACCCCACACCCACAGGCACACCCTCACCCAGTCCTCCTACTCACGCACAGTTCTGGTCTTCCACCCCCTCGCCCTGCTCTGGCATTAGGGGATGCTTTACAGAAGTGAAGCCCAGGCTCTGAGCTCCTGATGGGCCAGGTGAATGCACAAAGGGCCTGCCGTGAGTGGACCTGTGTTTCCCCTAAAGGATGTGGTCAAGTCCTAACCCCTGTACCTGTGAGCATAACCTTATGACGAAGTGGGGTCTTTGCAGCTGTAATGGGCTGAGATGAGGTCATACTGGATCAGGGTGGGCCCTAGGCCAGTGGCTGGTGTCCTTACAAGAGAAGGGAATTTTGGATACACAGACACACAGAGAGGGAGCTTGCTCTGTGATGACAGAGGCACAGACTGCAGTGACGCAGCTGCAAGCTAAAGAACGCCAAGGATGACCGGCTGCCACCAGGAGCCAGGGACAGGCCAGGAAGGATCCTCCCTAGCACCTTCAGGGGAGCACAGCCCTGCGGACACCTTCAGGGGAGCACAGCCCTGCGGACACCTTCAGGGGAGCACAGCCCTGCGGACACCTTCAGGGGAGCACAGCCCTGCGGACACCTTCAGGGGAGCACAGCCCTGCGGACACCTTCAGGGGAGCACAGCCCTGCGGACACCTTCAGGGGAGCACAGCCCTGCGGACACCTTCAGGGGAGCACAGCCCTGCGGACACCTTCAGGGGAGCACAGCCCTGCGGACACCTTCAGGGGAGCACAGCCCTGCGGACACCTTCAGGGGAGCACAGCCCTGCGGACACCTCAGTGTCAGACTTCCAACCTCCAGAACTGTGAAACAATACACATCTGTTGTTTGCAGGCAGCCAGTTGTGGCCCATTGGACAGCAGCCCTAGGGAATAAATCTGGCACTCAGGAGCCTCTGCTGCGGGGTCCTGGCCATGGGTCTGAGCCCTGGCTCCGTTTCTTAACTAGCAAGCCACTGCCCCTTCTCCAGCCTCAGTTTTCTTAACTGTAGAATACGGGTGATAACACCTACCTCACAGGCTGGCTATAGAGTTCAAATAATTCAGGAAGAAAGGAAGGTTTGTCGAACATTAGCTGCTACTGTTTAGGACCCACAAGAAAAGTTATTACAGTGCGGGGGAGAGATGACACTTACTAGGGTGCTTCTGCCTGTCGGAAGCCTCCCTATTATATATAGGTCCCCCTAGACCCCCTATAGAAGCCACCTCCTCCAGGAAGTCTTCCAGACGTTCTGTCCCTACACTGCTCTGTGCATGGTGCAACAGTTTCAGCAGCCTGCTTTAGTGTTACCCGTGGCACACCTGTCTGCCCTGAGGGTTTTCTCTATAGCATTCTTGTTTCTCTTTTTGTTTGTTTGAGACAAAGTCTCGCTCTGTCATCCAGGCCGGAGTGCAGTCTTGCGATCTCAGCTCACTAGAACCTCTGCCTCCCAGGTTCAAGCGATTCTCCTGCCTCAGCCTCCTGAGTAGCTGGGACTACAGGTGTGCACCACCACGCCCAGCTAATTTTTTGTATTTTTAGTAGAGACAGGGCTTCTCCATGTCGGCCAGGATGGTCTTGAACTCCTGACCTTGTGATCCACCCACCTCGGCCTCCCAAAGTGCTGGGATTACAGGTGTGAGCCACTGTGCCCGGCAGCATTCTTGTTTCTAGACTCCTCTCCCAGGAGCCTCCCTGACATGTGGCCTCAAGTACGGCAGGCCACAGCCTTGTGTCGTTCCTTCATTCAAACATGGGGGCACACAGGTATGTGTGCTGTCCTTCAGGCTCCCTTGCGCTGATAGTTCCACGCATCTGTGTTTACTCGATGGTGAATGCTTGTCCACCCATACCTATGATTAATACATCCACCCATACGCCCATCCATCCATGCCTGTATCCACCCGTCATCCATCCATGAATCCATCATCCACCCACCCATGAAGCCATCCCTCCATCTAAACACACACAGATCGATGCCTGAATTCCTTCGCCCACACCCACACATGCGTTCAGCAGCCTCACTAGCTCCTACCTCTCTCCAGGTCAAGCAAATAGTTGGGGGCGAGCTCGATGGAGGAGCAGTTCCAGCGCATGTCCGCGAAGGCCTGGCGGCAGGCCTTCATGACCTCGCGGGCGGCGTGCACCACCGTGTGCATGAGCTCCAGGTTGCTGCGGCACAGCTGCACCTGCGCAGACACCAGGCCCTCCAGCTGCTTGCAGTGTTGTGTCTGGTTCAGCGCCAGGGCCGCTGGTGTCTTGGACAGCGCCCTGCACACAGTGGAAAGGCCGTGACCGATGGAAGGAGAGACAGGGTTGTCAAGGGCCACATGGCCTCCACCCACCCCAGTGGCTCCAGCCTTTCCTCCTCGCTCCTTCCAAGAAAGGCTCCCAAAGTGCCGGCTGGCAGAGCAGTGGATCCCCCTGCCACTCCTGTGTGACCTTGGGCACATTACTGTCCCTCTCTGGGTCTCAGGCCCTATTCATAACATTAGATCACAACCCCCAGCCTACCTAAGCTTTATGATAATTATACTAACGAAACAGCTGTACAGTTCACAACGCTCACATCCACTGCCTGACTTAGTTCTCACACAGCTGTGAATTATTAGTCTTGTATTCAACATTCATTCAACACTGAGCAGCTATATTCCAGAAACCATGCGAAATGCTAGATTCTTATAATCACAATAATTGTCCATACTATTAACTGAAGCCTTACTAGATGAGCAACATGAGTTAGGAGTTTTCCATCACTGCTTCATTTGATTACTAAGCCCATTTATTATGTTGTAAAGTCCCATATCCATGCAAGGAATTGCTAATAAAGGATTAAAGAGCTGGCCAGTTTTGTGATGACCTGGAACTTGGAAAATGTAGTGTCTAATCCACACTTGGCCATCAACTTGTTGTGTGACCTTACATAATTCATTGCCCCTCTTTGGGCCTCAGTGTTTGTACTTGTAAACTATATTTCCTAGAATGGGTTCCAGCGAGACACTCTGACAAAAGGGATCCATTTGGGGAACACGATGTACTGTGTCCCTGCTTGGAGAGTCAGGAAGCACATTTATCGTTTAAAGGTCCTGAGAAGTCCTGCAGCAAAGCAATAGGCTTGGTTTTGTTTAGCTTGGGGAGTCTGTTGAGCGTACTGAGCACAGAACCCTTTGCTTAAGGCTGCTGACCTCATCCATGCTTTGGGAAATGGTAGCCTAGTGGGTCTCTGTGAACGCTGGTGATGTTAGAGAACCCGAGAACCTCCCAGATCCCAGCTCTGGGCACCTGGATTCCAAGACTCTAGGACCAGGACCCTCCTGGATCTGCTGTTCTCCCAGGCCTTCTCTGAGGGGCAGGCTGCATCAGTGGCACTTCCTCTAAGTGCAGGCTAGAAGGATCCCACAGCCCTAAAGGACTCCACATGGATTCACTCCCAGTGCCCCCACCCACAGCAGGGGCCGCCTGGAACCCAGAGCCAGCTGGCCTTCAGCAACCCAGCAGAGACCCAGGAGGGACAGAGCCAAGAGGGGTCAATCTGCAGCCAGAAGTGCTGAGTTCCCTGCCTGCTGTGGCCCCAGCGGTCCTCACCCAGGGTCAGGGCTGAAACCTGGCAAGTTGGAGATCCCAGAACCCTTGGGCTGAGTTCTGAGGAAGGCAGCCCATTGCCAAGGGCACTGCACAGGCTCGGGTAGACTCCGGGCTGTATCACTCCCCTTGCAACCTTGAGCAAGTCACTTAACCTCTCCTTTCCCACCCACCTCCCAGTGTTAACTGAGGGCTTAAATCAGACAATGTGCATCACACGCTCTGGCCCAGGGCTGATGTTCTGTGCTCAGAGATGGAAGCTACTACAATTACCACTTTGGTGGTCTTTTCCTACCTGGAATTGCCTAGTCAAGGCCAAAGGCTGTCACCTGACATTCAGGGCCCCTCAGAGCCTGGCCTCCCAGCTCTCTCCAGGCTCCACTTCTCATCCTGACATCCAGCCACAACAGGTTCCTGACTTCTCTGAAAGGAACTGTCCTGCCACCATGCCTTTGCCCAGGCTTTTCCTGATGCCAGGAAAGCCTTTCCTCCTGCTTCTGCACATGAATGAATAAATGAACTTGATCTACTTGTGGAAGAAATATCTACTAAGCACCAACTCTTCCCAGTCTCATTTGGTAATGAACATGACATAGATTCTCAACTCAAGGAGTGCCTAGTCTAATGGCTGGATAAAGCTATCAACAGTTATAAATCAATGACCCAGCTGTTCTAGCTCCTGGCTTGGCCCCAGGAAGAGCAGCACAAGCTTTGGACACCAGCTGTGTGACCTAGGTAAGTTACCCAACCTCTCTGAGCCTCACAATCCTCATCTGTTATAAAGAAATGATAAGGCCAGTTGAGGTGGCTCACACCTATAATCTCAGCATTTCAGGAGGCCAAGGGGGCAGATCATCTGAAGTCAGGAGTTTGACACCAGCCTGGTTAACGTGGTGAAACCTTGTCTCTACTAAAAAAATACAAAAATTAGCTGGGTGTGGTGGTGCATGCCTGTAATGCCAGCTGCTTAGGAGGCCGAGACAGGAGAATTGCTTTAAACCAGGGAGTCAGAGGTTACAGTGAGCTGAGATGGCGTTACTGCATTCCAGCCTGGGTGACAGAGTGAGACTCGTCTCAATAAAATAAAACAGAAATAGGAATAATTACTACTTCAAGAGGCTATAAGGCTGGGGGTTGTTGCTTATGTCCATGATCCCAGCTGCTCTGGAGGCCAAAGTAGGAGGATCCTTTCAGGCCAGGAGTTCAAGACCACCCTGGGCAACATAGTGAGAGCCCCTGTCTCTAAGAAAAAATTTAAAAATTAGCTGGGTTCTGTGGTATACGCCTGTAGCCCCAGCTACTTGGGAGGATCGCTTGAGCCCAGGGGTTTGAGGTTACAGAGAACTGATTGCACCACTGCACTCCAGCCTAGGTGACACAGTGAAACCCTGTCTACTGGAAAAAAAAAAAAAAGAAAAAAAGGCTATGGTGAGACTCAAATTAAATAGCAGAATGTATGCAAAGTGTTTAAAATATTCCTAGATGAAGCGAAGTCCCCCGCTTTTTGCCTAGCAAGTGTTGGACCAGAGGGAGTGAGAAGACATGGGTTCTCACTCAAGCTCTGTCCTCTATGAGCTGTGCAAACTTGGGCAAATTGTTGTCCCTCTCTGGGCATCAACTACAATGTGGGGAGCTCTCGGAGTCTTGCCAAGGCTGAATGATATGTGCTACAATAAGTACTCAACAGGCTTCTTCACTTCTTCCTGTCTCTCAGGCTCTGCCATGCCCCACCCACCCTATAACCCCCAAAGATAGAAACCTTCCTAGAGACCCAGAAAGCAGGGCCTGGTGTCTGTGGTTAGGGTGGCGTGTCTCACCCCGTGTAAGATCAGCTGCAGTGTCCAGGGCAGTCTCCCCTCCCTGCTACCCCCTAAACTATAAGCCAGGAAATGTTTGGTGTGTAGATGCCGGCATCTGGCACGGGGTGGGCCACACAGCAGCCCTCAGATGCGGTTTCTTGACCTAACTGGAACTGCTCTGGCCTACCCTGGCCTCGCCCTCTTGGGGAACCTGTGGCTGAACCCTGCTGTACTTCCTGGGTGGGCTCCGACCACGTAAAGGCAAATGTCATCACCTCGGTGCACTTTCGGTTGTCACAGTCCCTCCACCTCCACCCAGCAGACGCTGTCCCTGTGTGCAGTGCGGTGGCGGTGGTGGAGTAACAGCCCCCTGTGGGCACAGCCTTCCCAGCTGGCACAGCCTCTCACTTCACACCTCAGAGGGTGTCCGGGAGGGGTTGATCATCTCTCCTTCAGGGGCTGTGCTTGTCCAGCACCCCCCAGCAGGCCCTGCCATCCTTCTTGGTGAGGCTGTCAGTCCCTATGGGCACTGTGGTCACTTCTCTCCGGGTCCCCACTCTGCTTTGCTTTGGGCGATCCCCACCCAGCCTGTCTGAGCCTGTTCTGCCGCTCACCCTCGCCCAACTCTCCACCCCCTCCATCTGAGCCAGCTTCCTCCCTTTACAAACATGGGTGACAGCACATCATTGCGTGGTCCAGCAGCAGGCACATCACACATGTGGGAGTTCAGGCCACCAAGGCAGCCTCCCGTGTCTCTCCCTGGGCTCCTGCTTAAGCCACGGGGTAGGACGATGGGGGCTGAGCCTCTTCCCGGGGAGCAGGGCGCAGACAGCTTGTGAGTGCTGGGTGCCACAGCTCTCAGGGAAGGGAGGTGGTGCTCCCAGTGCCCGGGTCTCCTTAGCTGGGACCCTGGGGTGAGCCCCGGAGCCATCCTGGGTCTCAGTCTCTACATCCTCCCCAGAAGGCTGAGGGAGAAGGTGCTGTCAGAGAACCTTCCAGACAAGGCTCAGACTCCCCAGGTGGCCAGAGGGTAAACGAGAAGCCAATCCAGAGGCCCTGGTGGGCACAAGGCAGTGTGGAGGCTCAGGGCCCGCCGTGGAGGCTGAGACTGGGACGGGAGCAGCCAGCCATGTGTGCCAGGGAGGCCACCCGCCCACCAGGGCTGCAGGCAGGGATCGGAGGCGGGAGGCAGCAGATTCCACTCCCGAGGAGAGCCATGCGGTCATCTGGTAATTAGTGGTAATGACCGTTTCCAAATAAATCCCCCTTGGGGAGGTAATCAAGGATTAGGAAGGGAGGTGGGGGAGTTCTCCTTGTGGACATCTCGCTCGCTTCACTCCAACAGACCCCTAATTGGAAACATTTCAGTCTATCTGGGGGTGGGGGCCTGGGGGAGAGGGTGGAAGAAAGGACAGGAGGGAACGCAGAGTTCACAGGCGAGGCCCAATCTCAGGGCCCTACCGGGGTGGCGAGGCCTCCTCTCATTCAGGAGTCGGGGGCCTTGCTAGGACTGGCTGGGGCAGGGACCTGGGTTCAAGCCTGGCTCAGTGTTTTCAAATGAGAAGGACGACATGGGTGGCAGCACATGAGACCTTGGGCAAGTCACTGTCCTTTGCTTTGCCTCAGTTTCCCCATCCATACTGCTCAATGTCCAAGAACAATGCAGGCTCTGACACTGGTAACACAAGCTGTCAAATGACTTCACTGAGGTGTTTTCCTGTGGTGCCAGCAGCCCCACCATCAGGCTGCTCTAGGGGACCTGGCCAAGGTAAAGCACCTTCCAAGAAGGGCTTCCCTCCTGGACCTGCCCTTCACAGCTCTCCCTCTAGGCACAGGGGTCAGGTCACATGAGGAATTCTAGGCCAGAGACCAGGCAGCTGGGTTCAGGCTCCTTTACATGCCCTGGGCCCCAAGGCCCCTCACCACCCACAGGGCTGAGTGGCATCGCCAACCTATTTCCAGGTGAGGCTTCAGCAGAGCTGGGCTCAGAGGGCCTCAGAAGGCGCCCCCAGCAGCACCACCCAGACTGTAGCCTGGCAGCTGCCCACCCAGGGGGAGAGATGGGGTGAGGTCAACAGGTGGCCATGGGAGAGACCCTGATGCCCACATCTTTGCTTCTGGGATGAGGAGGATGCTGGTCAGAGCTGCGGGCTGGCTTAGGGGCTCAGTCTTGCTCTAGAATCCCCGTGTCTCTGTATCTGTGGACCCTGCTGACCACGAGGTGGGAGAGCAATGGAGTTGAGGAGACCCTGTTCTCCCAGCCAGACCTTTGTCCCTCCCCTGCCCGTGTCCCTTTGGGCTCTCCTGGGCCCCACTGCATCCTAGTGCCCATGTGGCAGGGAGGATGGAGCAGGAACCCGGGCTCCAGGCCACCCAGGCAAGCCCCACCTCGCCCCAGGCTTCCGTCCACTCCCCTGGGGCGGCCTTGGAGAACCTCTCCCTCCATGACTCCCCAATTAACTCCTCAATTAGCTCCAGGTCCAGGAACCAGGGTGAGGTCTAGGAACCTCAGAAGTGCCCCTTCCTCACCAGCCACCCCAGCTTGGGGCTGCAGCTGGCCGTCCGGGAAGAAGCCTCTGGGGCCCCACAGCCTGAGAGTCCTCCCGTTCGCCCTAGGTTTTGTCCCAGGGCTCCAGAGTGAAGAGGGACCAGTCCAGCCCTTGTCCCCACTGTACAGATGGAGAAATGGAGGTTGGTGAAGGGCCTGGAGCCTGCAGATCCAGTCCTGCCTGGAAATGACACTGATTCCCTTCACACCTGACTGCCCAGACCTCAGAGATGGAAGCCTGTCCCCTTGGCCTCACACATGCTGACCCACCTGTGCAGTACACCTTGTGAAGAAGGGCCCAAACCGGCCTTGGTCTGACACTTCCCAACCAAGAAGCCAAAGGGCAGCTGCCACAGTGTCACCAACTCCCACTAGGTAAGTGGGGAAACTGAAGCCCAGAAATGCAGGGCTTGCCCAGATCTGTGCACAGCCAATCAGAGCCAGAGCCACGCTAGACCCCCAGGCCTCCCACATCCCGAGGTAGGGCTCCTTCTGCCCCTATCTTAGAGCTGAGGAAACCGAGGCTCAGAGAAGCTGAAGCGATTGACCTGCAGAACTCAGGCTGGGCCTCCCACTCCCAGTCTGACGCTCCTTCCACCCTATTCTGCAGCGCCATGGCCCTTCTAGAGCCTCCCGGCCCCACCTCCGTGGGAGCAGCAGATGTGGGACTGCCCAGAGAAGGGGGTGGCCTTTATGGGTGTTCCCAGCCACCCTGGGCCTTTCCTCTCACCTGCAGCCCCTGCCCCCCGTGGTTCACAGGAGGGTGGGACTCTCCTCGAACCCTTCCCTATCCAGGGCAGCCAAGAAGTGGGGACAGCCCAGACCTGGGACCCCGAATATTTGTGGGGCAGGGAGCCTTCCGGTGCCGGGCCTGGGAGGAGGTAAGGAGGAAAGGGTCTCCAGGTTATTTCAGGTGCCTCCATGAGCAGCCATGTTCCTATCCCCTCTCCCCAGCCCCAGCCCACCAGCTCAGCCTGCATCCCAGGCGCCCCCCAGGTGAGCATTCCAGGCCACTCAGCCACACTGGGGTTCAGTTCCTGTGCCAAGTGCCCATTTCATCTCCAGCTCACTCTCCAGAGCTCAGGCCAGTGGAGGCTGCTGGGTGAGTCGCCAGCTTTCCAGGCTCACTGAGCACATCCCTGCTCCCAGCCGTGCTGGGGCTCCCTGTGCCCAACAGGCCACAGAGCCAGGTAGCTTAACTCAAACCCTGCCTCCACTACCTCCGAGCTGTGACACTCTGCTAGGTAGAGTCCCCCATGCCTCTGTTTTCTCTTCTATGCAATGGAGGTAATAGCAGCACCCACCTAACGGTAGTTGGCACATTTAAATGGAACAACATACATAAAGCACTTAGAACAGTGCCTGGCATATAGCAAGGCTGTGTGCGTAGACATATACATACATATACATACATCTATCCACAGGGCCTACACACCTGTCTGTATGTACACATACACACATGTACACACAGATAACTGTTATTCTTAAGCTCCACCCCTTCTCCCTCTTCTCCCTCTATCTTAAACTCTAGCAAGCCTTTAACCTCTCTTGCTAGACTATCACCTTCTCGCCGGAGTGCAGTATGATCTAAATTCAACGACCCAAGCTCTCGAGCAGCCTCTGGGGCAGTTAGGAGTAGGCTCTTGTGGTGCCTGGTTTCTCCAGGTCTCCCCACACGCACTGTTCGGCCTCCAGGCTTTTGCTCGTGCTGTGCCTCCTGCTTGGGATACTTGCTTTGCATTCCGTCTCTGACCACCCAGATCCTTCTGTTCTTCCAATCCTGGCCCCGGCACCTCCCTTAGGTAGAACTGACCATGCCTCCTCTGGGCTGGGGTGCCCCCTCTGCTAGGACACAGGCCACAGTCCACTTTGTATGTCTATGTATCCATCTCCCCCAAGAGGCTGGGGGCTTCTTTAGGCCACACAATGAGTCGTACCAATGTCTGTGGCAGCCTAACTCTGCCGTGGGGACAGAGGACACCCCACCACATGCCAGCATGGGGACTTGCGTGCATCATGCCCTCCGTGGGGCCTCAGTGTTCCCACTGTGGAGCAGAGACGATGGCAGTGACCCCACAGCACTCTCAGGGGCGGCAAATGCCACCCAAGCCCAGTGCAAGGCCTCTGATGCTCCTGGTGCCCTTCAGCCAATCCTCTCCTTCCCTGGACCTTAGTATCCTTATCTGTAAAACGGTGGCCGTGGAGGAGAGAGCTTGGACTCACTAATCGGAGGCCCCTGCCAGCTGGAACAGTGCTGGGCACCCCACCACAAAGGGAAGGTGGCTGGTTTCTCACAGAACTCCTCAGGGGCAGCTGGGAAGAGCTAGTGCCCAGGGCCAGGAGATCACTGAGACCAGGTTTCTTATAAACAAGAAAGGCATGAAGACATGGTCCCCCTCTTGAATCAGCCATTAATCAATAACTTGGCCCCAGAAGGGGCAGGGCCAGTGACCTCCAGACTGTTTGCTGGCGGCGCAGCCATTATCGCCCTGTCTTCCAACTAATTCGCAAACCCTCTGCAGGGCCCTCCCCAGCCCCCTCAACCTGTCCCCTGCTGTCTTATCTGCAGGCTCCCTGCCCGGCCCGAACTCCAGACCCTTGTCCCTTCCTGGACTTGCCCTCTGAGGGAGCCCCTCTGCTCACAGCGCCTTCCTCTCCACTGCCCGCACCAGCCAATCCCGGGCAGCGCTTCAGTCACTAGGGGTACAGCCCCGGGAAAGCTTCCCGACGTCTCAAATCTGCGTCCCCACCAGGTGGGCTTCCTTCCTCTAGCCCCCCAGAACCCCGCTCTGGTTTCTCCTCGGGCACTCGGACACTTGTGGAGTTATTTACAGCCTGGGCTTATCTCTCTCAGCTTAGAGGGCAGCCCCTCCAGGAAGGGGCTGGCGTTGACTCCTCTCCTGACCACCCCTGGCCCCCCGAGAGGGCACTCCCTTGTGCTCGGCACCGAGCCTCCCGCTCCCTCCTCCCGCTGCGTGAAGAATTTCTATCTAAATGAGTGCCCTGCACATGTGTGCAGCGGCATCTGACGGCTTCTGAGGTCCTTTCAGGAGCCTTTTATCTGATTTGAATGAGGTGAAGAGTCGCACCCTCCGGCGACAGAGGACACGGAGGCTCCAAGCAGTAGAGTGACACCGCCCCAAGGTCACCCAGGTGGAGGGGCCAGGAGTGTCTCTGCGGAACTCCCGCTAGGGTCAAGGACACTGACTGACTAGGAACCCTCCTGGGCTGGCCCCTCTGGATTGCGCCCCCTCATCAGGATGTCGTTTTCCTTCGCCCCTGCGGAGGTGGCCAGCAATTCCGCGGCCTTTGCGCCACCGTTAGCTGCACGGCACCGGGAGCTTCCATCGCCGTCCACGCCTGTCTCGCTCCCTCTTCGCAAGCCCCCAGGAGGCAGGGACGACATTTTACAGAGGAGGAAACGGAGGCTTACGGATGACTTGCCCACGACCGCCAAGCCAGCTTGGGATCCCGGGTCTCGGCTCGCTCGCCCCATACAAGGAACCCCGTAACGCTCCCCGCCGCCCCAGTCCCGGGCCTGTGCGCTTGGACGCGGGTTCCCCCTACTCACAGCCACTTGATGCCATAGCACACGCCGGTCTGGAGCGCCAGGGCGAAGAGCAGCGCCTCGCAGACCTGCGGCCGCGCCCTCATCGTCGCGCGGCGGGCGCGCCCGGGGTCACACCCAGGAGGAGCCGCGCCGAAGTCCGCCTGCTCGGCCGCCGCTGGTCCTGCACACCGCCTGCAAGCCGGGGAGTGCAGAGACTGCGGGTTAAGGAGGCGCGCGGGCGGGGGAGGCGTTTTATTCAAATTACAAAGGAGGGGTCGGGGCCCCGGGAGGCCGAGCGCGGCGGGCGTCCCCTCCCGCCCCGCCCTGCCTGGGGATGGGTCCCGCGCCTGGCTCGAATTAGGCGCGGCCGAAGGCGTGTCCGCCAGCGCGGCCCCGAGCCCCAACGCACCCTCCGGCCCCTCCAGCCCGGGCAGCCGGAAGGAGGGACAGGAGGCGGCAGAGTCGGAGACCCCCGGAGAGCGGACCGACGCAGCGAAAGGGAGAGGGACGCTCAGAGGACAAAGCTGAGAGCCAGGGAGGCAGAGGGGAACCGGACAGATGCAGACCTGGGGTGGAAAGGAGAGGAATCCGGAGTCCGGGCGAGGCAGCAGAGTCGGGGTCCCGGAGCTGGGCTTATCCCGGCAACATGGATTATTAGTTATTAGGGCCTCGGCAATTCTCCTTCCCAACTGTGCCTCAGTTTACCTCCTCGGTACGCTGGAGCAATTCGGGCACAATTCAGCTTTTATAAAGAACATTCCCTAACACAATCGCATCTGCTCCTCCCAGCACCCGGTGAGATCGGCACTATCACTGCCCCATCTCACAGATAAGGAAACAGGCGCAGAGGTGGGGTTGTTCAACTACGGAGCGGCAAGCCGGGTGTCCGGCGAGATCAGGAAGTGGGGCTTGCTCCAGACCCCGCTTTCTCGGTGTGGGAAGGGGAGGATGGGAAACGGGATGGTAGAGTTCTTCGTACAGTGAGGATTCCGAGTCTCCAAATCCGTCTTTAGCCTCCCCACTTGGAGGGTGGGGGTGAGGCGTGCGAGCCGGGGCTGGGCGGCCCCGCCTCAGCGCAGCGGGGAAGCTCAAGGGGCTGGCGCGGTGTTGCCTCTGGCCTCCAGGCGGCGCCCTCGGGCCGTGGAGGAGCAGGGGCCCCGCCCGCCAGCAGCCCGCGGAGCGGCTTTCTCCGCTTTTTTTCTCCTTCACTTCATTCTCACCTCATTAACTCCCTTCCCAGCTTCTCCCAAATTTACCAACACCTGGCGTTCGCCCGGAGTCAGAAACAGCCCCCAGCCCCTCTCTCCTCGGGAGGAGCAGAGACAAAGAAATTCCTTTCTAAGGGTTTGGGGAGTTGGAAAAGGAGGTGCCCACCGTAGCGGGGGCGCTGGGGCGGAACAGGGGCGTTCTCATCTGGCTCTGTGAGCTTGGGCAAGCCCTGAGCCACCCCAGCCTCGGTGTCCCCTTCTATAAGAACGAGGAGCGGGGTTTCGCCGTGCGTCCTTCGAGGTCCCCGCCTCCCTGCAGCCTGCGGGGCTCAGCGCACCTCTGCTGTTTGCACCGCGACGCCACCTGCGTGGCGCGTTCCTGCGCCTGGGCCGTCAGCGCGCACAGAGGGGAAGCCCCACGGTTTTCCGGAGCCTGCTGGCAAAACCCACAGGATGACGAGTTGAAGCCTGGATCGCACGGTTCTTTTCCTCCGCACAGCCCCGCGGCTGGCGCCCAGCTCAGGAGCGCCTGTGACAAACGTGCACTCAAGGCTGGTGTTCCTAGCGGGGTTCTCGGTGTAACCGAGCCCCGTCCTCCCACCCAGCCTGTATCCAAACTCTTTGTCTAGTCGTGCAAGTTTCCCGCACTTCTCAAAACAAGAAAAATATGCGTTGGATATGGAGGGGGCGGGATATCAAAACTCCAGTCGCCATCTTTCCCCCTCCTAAAATGCGCCCCCCTCAAGGCACCCGTCATTCTTGGGTGGGGCGGGGGCAGGGGCTGCACGAGGACGGAGGGGCGCCGACTCACAGCAGGGGATCCATATCCAGCCTAGTCTCACACGGAGAGGAGCCGCCGCCTAGGTCGCACAGAGGACGGGGACCCAGGCCTCCTGCCCCTCCCGCCTCTTTCGGAGCAGCCTCGGCTGTCCCAGGCCTCTGCCTTCGCCGCCCCAGCTCGTGGCGCGGGGAGGCAGCGCCTGGCCCGAGCCTCTGGGTCCTGACGGACTGTTGCTGTCCCTTGTAGGAACGCCCGGGACAGCCGCGCGGGCCGCGGGGTCACCCTCCGCCTGAGAGCGCGGGTCAGGGTGCACTCGCCTCCCGAAGCCCCCAGTCCGCCAGGGGGCGCTAAGCCGGGGCTCGAGGAGGGGATCGCGGCTGCCTCCCCGGTCGCGGGCTGGGGGCAAGTGTCCTGGGCCCCCGCATCCTCGTCTGGGGATGGGATGAGGTGTCCAGCGAGTGCCCCCTGGGTCCTGGTTGTTCTACAGGACACTTGCGGTGGGCCGCCCTGACCTGCCCGACCCCTTGCTTGGGGCCTTGCGCGTAGCGGGCCCCACCAGGCGCAGAGCCTTTGGAGAGCGATCGGTCCCCTCCTCGAAGCTGATCCGAGCTACCCTGCCTGCAGCGGGCCCGGGAAGGCGGCCGCCTGGGGCTGGGCACAGGCGGGCACTGCGAGCGCGGCACTGCAGTCCCGAGCCACTAACAGGTGGTCGTAGGCCTGGGCTGTGGAGGGCTCTGGAAAGCCCGCCGCTGGGACCAGGCCACGCCGGCAGGGACTTGCGGGACCTTCCCTACTCCGACGCTCTGCGGGCACCGCGAGCCGGGGTCGATTGTCCGCGAGGCGTGCAAGGTCCGCACTGGCAGGTTCCGAAGCCTCCAGCCGCGCAGCTCACGGAGCCGACCCCGCCAACCAGGGACACCGAGCGACGGCTTCAAGGTTACCCGCGGGGCGGCGCGAGGCCGGGCTGGCCACCCGACTTTGACCCAAGCCTCGAGGCTTTGGAGAGACGCCTGCTCGGCTGCGGACGCGGCGCCAGGTCACCCGGGAAACGGGTTGTTTTGGAAGTGGGAATCGTGGGTGGGGGCACTCGGGATCCCTCCCACTAACCCCCTGGAGCCGGACCCTGAGCGCCCAGGGCCGTGAGGGACACCGAGGCACTTCAGCCCCAGGGGTGGGAGGCGTGGAGTTCGTGCGCGAGCTCAGCCAGATGTTCGGGGCGGTTCCAGATGTGCCGTGGGGCCGGCGACAGGACTCTCCTCCTCCCCAGCCCCAGCCTGGAGCTCAGGTCAGTAAACAAACTCTGTCCTCCTCTCCCCTCGCCGCCTTTGGGACCCGTTCTCAAAGCTAGGCGTTCGCCCCCATCCTCAATCTGCTAGGTGCTGCCGCATTTCTCTGCCTTTTGCCATCCTCTCCCAAACACACCCCCACCCCCACCACTACACAAACCCTCTGCCGCGGGATCCAGCTGTCCCACCCTGGAGGTGGCTCTGGCAGGACCTCGTCGGAGGGCAGACTGGGAAGGTGGGGGTCGGCTGGGGTGCGGGGGAAGGAGATGGAGACGGGCCGGGAAAGTTTAAAGAGGGCCGCAGGAACTGCACAATCCACCCCTGTCCCAAGTCCCCCTAAAGCCCGCGTCGCCGGGCTCCCGCGGCCGCGCTCCGCAAGGGGGAACTCTTCGGAGTGCTGGGAGAAGAGGTATGGAGGAGCGCTTGGTGTGCTTACCCGGGAGTGGGTGCCCTAGGGGGTCGTGGCGGGTGCGAGAAGCGTCGTCTCCCTCGGACTGGGGCGCTCCGAGCCCTAGCGCGTCCCTGCTGAGCGGCTGCCCGTTGCCCGCGACCACTGCTCACCTTCCAGGGCGCTCGCCAGGCGTGTCCTGCGTGCCCGGGTGCCCCGGCCTGCCTAGGGAGCGGCTAGCGCGGTTTCCAGCGGGCCCGGGGGCACTCTGGCTGGGCGAGCGGCGAAGGCGCCCTCTTCTGAAGCGGCGCGAGAAGGACGCCAGGGATCTTGGCAAGCGGTGGCTCAGGACCCGCGCGGACTCAGGTGCGGACTCGGGCGCGGACTCCGGCTGCCCTCGGCTGCGCTCAGCTCCCGGGGCCTGCGCTCGCCGCTCGCCGCTCGCCCGAGCTCTCCTCCTAGCCGGGCGAGATCTCTGGCGCGGGCCTCCGAAACTGCTTTATAAGGCCCCGGCGGCCGCTTTGATCCGCCCACGTCAGCGCGCCGCAGCCCCACCGGGTGGCCCTGGCCGCGCACGGGGGACGGGGGCGGGGTCCCCGCGGACGCCACTGACCTGCGGCGCTCGCCGCTCCAGAGAACTTCGCACTCTGTCGAGTTACAAAGGGGGACTCGTTCATTACAGCTGGTGTTTACTAAGCATGCGTGCTGCGTGCCTGGTACACGCGTGGAGCCCGGGTAAGGCCCTTCTAGAATCGTCGCAGCAACCAGGCAAGGAGCCTCAACCCGCCAGAGGGAAGTCAGACTTGGGTCTCAGTCATGGAGCCGGCATCCTTAGCTGTTGGTCCCGCAGCGTGATTGCTATAGGCGTCGGAGTTCCCGAAACTTGCCTTTGCGTCCTAGTCCTGGCCGTCTCTTCAAGCCTCTGGTTCCAGTCGTGGAAAACCAATCAACGATCCTGCAGGAGAAAGAGACACGAGGACTTGGCGCTGCAAAGCCCGCTGCTGTAAACCTTAGGTGTGGAGCCGGGCAGCTTTCCAGCCACTGGGGTGACTGCGGGGGAGTGTTCTGGACACACGGAAGCGGGAGCAGAGGAGGACCGGGTTGCGGAAGCCAAAGGGGCCTAGAGAGGCGCCTCCTGCACGGCATAGCCCAGGCGTGTGTTGCTTCTGGGTCCGCTTCTCCCCTCACTTGGCCTTCCCTGACCAGACCAGCTGCTAACCCCGCGGCGCCACTATGATTTTCAACTGCCCATCGGGTGCTGTGGGTTCATTCGTGTCTCCCCCTCCTTCTAGGGACCTCAATCCCGGGACATTCTCAAGGATAACTAGTTCATTAGCAGAAAGGGAAATGGAAACTTAGTGAGGACACGGAGCCTGTCTCAGTTCCCCCCAAAATGCCTGACATTCTTTTCCCCATTTCTTGCAGCTGCAGATGAAATGGCACTCCTAGGCTGCCCCACACCCAGCCACAGCTACCTCCACGTACAACAGGAACATCTGGGCCCACAGTGCCCACAGCAGCCTCCCAGCCACACTGGTACTCCCACACAGCCAGTCTTCACATATCGGCTGGGGCATATCACCCCACAGATGGTTACTGAGACACTTGGGAGATACCGGAACACATCATCTGCCCTCACACAGGGTAGCACAGAGGTGCGAAATGGCCACACACACACGTCATGAAGGGAGGCAGCACACAGACCACCTGTGCCCAAAGAGTTCATGGACAAACATTCATGAGCTTCCATGCACACACAGCTCCCAAGTGTACAATGCCAAACATATACTCCTGCATACAATCACAGGAATAGCCTTTGGAACATATGCTGGGCCACCCCCATATCTTATCCCAGACCATTGGGGCAATCCAATCAAAAAAGCGGTGGAGGTCAGGTGTGGTGGCTTACACCTGTAATCCCAGAACTTTGGGAGGCCGAGGTGGGTGGATCATAAGGTCAGGAGTTTAAGACCAGCCTGGCCAACATGGTGAAACCCTGTCTCTACTAAAGATACAAAAAAATTAGCCGGGCATGGCAGCAGGCACCTGTAATCTCAGCTACTCTGGAGGCTGAGGCAAGAGAATCACTTGAACCTGGGAAGTGGAGGTTGCAGTAAGCCGAGATTGTGTCATTGCCCTCCAGCCTGGGCGACTGAGTGAGATTCCATCTCAAAAAAAAAAAAAAAGAAAGAAAAGAAAAAAACATGGAAAGACAATGGGGCTTGGGGCATTGAGGAAGGGGAGAAGACAAGGGCTATTTCACCTAAGAAGTGGGGGGGCGGGGGACAAAGGCCTCTGGGGGCCCAAGATTGTCCTTAGCTCCCCTGCCACAGGCCCTCTGGCCACCTCAGAACCATTCCAGGTGGCCTCTGTCTGATTGGGATGCACACCCCTCTGCTCATTTAAGAGGCTCAGTCAGTTGCCTCCAAACATTTGTAGAGTCCTCCTGCCAGAAATCTCCTCTGGCTCCCTGCTAGAGTAGAAATGGAAGCAATCTGGAGTCACACGAACTTGGATTCCAGTACAGATTTTGCCCAATTTTATTTTTAGCTGTGTAACCTTGAGCAAATTGCTTAAATTCCCCAAGACTTAGTTTTCTCACCCACAAAATTGGAATAATACAATCTCATGGAACCCTCTACTTCTCCGAGATCAGGATTAGTATTCCCATTTCACAGATGTGGAAGCTGAGGCTCAAAAGGGAGTTGATATTTGAACCCAGCTCTCTCTGGCTCACTGTCCACTACCACTGGTGGCCCCCAGTGAACAGATGGAGGAAGGATAGTGACTTTCCATTGTCTTGTGGGGAGTTGAGCGAAGCCGTGAGAACATCACAGACTCCTGAAGCCAGCCCTGCCCCCTCCTGCTGCCCAGCTACTCAGCTGTGTCCTGTGGATCAGGACCCAGGCATCAGCCAGTGCTCGAAACCTGCCTGGGGGTGGGAGTAGGGGGAGAGCTATAAGAAGTCATGCCAAAAGCTTGCATTGAAAGTCAAGGGAGACTTGGGGTGAAGGTCTGCCCCTCCCTGCACCCAAGCCTCCCTATTTGTATAACAGGCAGTACTTGAGAATAATTTTGTTTTCATCCTTAGAACCAACTGACCTTCCCTGCTTCCCTTCTCTTCTACTTCCCTCTGTCCAGTCCTCCTCATGAGCCACTGTCTATCAGGCCTGTGCTGGCCACCTGGGCTGCAGGCTTCTCTTCAGCGGGGATGAGGCCCCATGCCCCTGGCTGTGGACGTGGATGTGAATATATTTTTCTTCTCAATCAGCCCAGGCGATTCTGTGATCTGATCTCCCAGAAATGCTGGGGGCTTCCTGTCAGCTGGCTTCTCAGCCCCTGCCTGACTGCCATTCGCCAGGGGCACATCCCTTTCCCTCCACCCCCATCCCTGCACCCGCCCTGCCCAGGGAGGCACCCAGGCTGAAAGGACGTGGAGGTGAGGGAGGACACAGTTCCGTTTGCCATGCTGACCTCTAGTGACCCCTCTGCTCACCTCAGCTTCCTTTCCTTGAGGCCAAAGCCTTGATGGAGGTGGTGAGGGGCAGTCACCTGTTTCCAGGGGCCCCAGATGGGGGTGCAAGGGAACTGATTACAGTCCTGAGCCCCATCACTAGTTTGCTGTGTGATGGCAGGTAGTTATTTTGCTGTGTCTGAGCCCCAGTCGCCCATCTGTAAGTGAAGGATTGAACAATATAACCTCTAAGGGCCACCCACATATCTTGGGGCTCCTGACCTAAGGATGCTGTGTGACCACAGCCCCAGATATACCCCAAAGCCTTCTCTGTCTTCCCTAAGCCTGTATCCCTACTCAGACCTCATCACTTTATCCCTCCCACAACAACGAAGGCTGGTCCGGAGAAAGCTGAAACCAGCCAGTAAAGAGAAGGGTCAAGATCACCCACTCTGGGCCATGACTTCGTGGTGTGTGAAGGGAGACGTGGCGGGGCCCCACTCAGCTCACTGCTGTCACCTCACCAAGGGGATAAAAAGAGAGTGACAGCTAGGCATGGTGGCTCACGCCTGTAATCCCAGCATTTTGAGAGGCCAAGGTGGGTGGCTCACTTGAGGTCAGGAGTTTAAGACCAGCCTGGCCAACATGGTAAAGCCCCATCTCTACTAAAAGTACAAAAATTAGCCAGGTGTGGTGGCACACACCTGTAGTCTCAGCTACTTGGGAGACTGAGGCAAGAGAATCGCTTGAACCTGAGAAGCAGAGGTTACAGTGAGCCAAGATGGCACCACTGCATAGCCTGGGTGACAGAGCGAGACTCTGTCTCAAAAAAAAAAAAAAAAAAAAAAAAACAAAGGAAGAAAGAAACAAAGAGTGACAGTGTTTTGCTCCACTTTTGCTGCACACAGTCTCTGTGACATCATCCACAAGCACACGCCCCTCCCTCCCGTGTCTGCAGGTTGCCTGGGGTCTCGTGGATCCCAGGCTCCAAGTCGGGTTTGGACCTGCTCCATAGATCACTCCTTCTAGCCTGGAACCAGCAGTCCCTGGGCCATGCTCTTCTCACCACCAAGTCACCTGTGCCATAGGACCAGCCATGAATGGGAATGAAGGAAACCCACAGGTAGTCCCCCTCTCCCGATCCCAGGCCACCTGGTGGATGCTGGCTTCCCAGAGCCATTTTTTGAGATCCCTCATCCTGGTCCTAGACACATCTTAGCGGAGGGCAGGGCAGGGCAGGGGCTGTCCTCACCATTTCCCATCCTCACTGGTTACAATGACACTAAAGGGCACTGTTTCCAGCACCAGGGTGCTTTTAGAAAGGCCTCTCTGAGAAGACACATGAACAGGAGGTCTGAGCAGAGTAGCCCAGCCCAGCTGTTTCTGGCACCCCCTGTGAGGCCAGATCTTCCAGGCAAGGATGGGGCGAGGGGACCAAATCGCAGCAGGCCTGTCATCAGAGCACCTGGGCCTGGCCGTCAGACTCACCTCCTCCACTTACCCACCAAGGGACTCTGGGGAAGTCACTCAGCCTCTGGGATCCTTAGTTTCATCATCTGCAAAACAGGGAAGCTACAAAACCACCGCTTCTCAGTGTTACTGAGAAAAAAAAACAGTAAAAGATGTCATACTGGTTGAACGAGCACCTACTGTGTGCCAGGCAGTTTCTGTGCCTGTGGACAAGAGAGGCACTTCTCTGCAGATGGACGCACTGCCAGGCCTGGCTGGTCATTCATGTGAGGGCTCTCTGTCGGGTGGTGGGCCTGGCTGCAAACCCCGGGTCTGTGGCTGCTGGAACCTCTGCCCTCTGCCCAGGGTAGGGTATGTCCTCCTCCTCCTCCTCCTCCTCCATTCTGTCAGGGGAGGTATTGTTGTTTTATAGGGCTCAGGGAGCAGGCCTGGGGGAGAGACGGGAGGCGTCTTTCCTGGGTGCACATAACAAAATGCCACCCGTCATGTCTGCTCAGGGCGTCACATCTGAAAGGCTGCTTTCAACTCTCAATTGTTGAATCATGGTGGTGGCTGCTCAGGAGACAATGTTTGAGTTTCTCAGGCCTCTTTCAACTCCAGGAGAGAAGAAACCCAACCCCAACCAGCTTCAACATGAGAAACTGACTGGCTCCCACAGGAGAAACTGGGGTGGCTAGTGGCCCTACTGCACTCAGGAGGGCTCAGGGCTGGCGCCGGGGCCCTGGGCCCCTGGGGACGCTATGCCGTCTCAAACTCACTTCTTCCTGCTCTCTTTGAACTCACCTGGGCCTCATTTCTACCCATTGGGATGTGGCCACCAACAGCCTCAGTTAGAAATTCCAGTCAAATGAGACCTCTGCCTCCTTGGGCCTCTGAATCAGTCCCAGGGAAGGCAGCCGAACCTTGCTTGGTTCATGCGCTCTCCCTTTGATTGACATCTGTTATTGCCACAGGAAAGGGGCTCTGGGCATGGCTGGGAGAAGCGCCTGTCACCAGAAGAGGAAGCATGGGAAGCAGTGGGCCATTTGTGTCTGGACAGTAGTGTCTTCTACGGCTGGGCTTCTGCTTCTCTGGTATGTGTAGAAGTCAGCGACTCTGCACCTAGGAGAAGAGAGGAGGCATTGTCTGAGTGTCACCCAACACATACACACACACACACACACACACACTCTCTCTCTCTCTCTCTCTCTCACACACACACACACACACACACACACACAGTCAGAGACCTACCATGCTCAGTGTCCCCACTGTCCACACAGAGAAACTGATGAGAGAAGGGAACAATTTGTCGCACATCACTTGGTGAGTGGTGCAGAGACAGAAATCAGGTCTCCTGACATCTAGGCATAAGCCATGCGGTCACTTGTCACTGGTTCTGAACCCTTTCTGAGCAGGCCAGTGAGGCAGCTTTTTAGTGGCACCAATTTCTCCCAGCCCAGAACATAAAGACCCTTTGGAATGTGACTCCATGCAAAGGCGAAGGCTCTGTCCGCACCCCTCCATCTGGGCTGACCTCCTGGCTTACTGGACTAGTAGAT